CGCAGATCTGAAACCCGTGGATCAACGCGGCCTCACCCATGTAAATATTCATTCAAACTTAGGCACTTTGCAGAGCATTCTTCTGAAATTGAAAGAAATGACTATAAAAGGAAAACCAGCAGTAACCCCAGCAGTTGCTTTTTTAAAGCTGCAAAGCTTCAAAGACTTCACCTTTATGAGGCTACAACATCCGCAGAACCTCAAAGCTGTTGTTTCATTTATTCCTACATTTCTTTTTTTAAATATCAAGCCATTAATCCTCAATGGCCTCTGCTCAGAAGTACAACAGACACATTTTCATTGCTAAGTTTGCTTAAGTAGTTCTGTATCAGAGGAACAGGGTGTGAGTTAGTTAACAGATCCCGAATTAAAAAAAAAAAAAAAAGGAAAGAAAAGAAAAGAAAACTAACAGAACTTTCAGCTTTCTCTTCCCAGCATAAACACCTTTTGCTATTAGGATCAGAAACAAACCAAATGAAAGCAAACAAACAAAGAAACGAAACCAAAGATGAAGTCATTCACTTGTTATCAACCCATATTTGGTAGGAGGCGAGCATTTCCTTCCAACTGGCAACTACCATCTCCGGTTAAGCAGAAGAAATTTCTCCCCATCAATGCTGAGAAGACGACGCTCATCACAGCGTGGCCTATGCACATGGGAGCTCAGGTTGTCAATCCCGTGCACTGCCAGGAACACAAGCACCGACTCGCAGGCGTGCAGAGCCCAGAGGAGCTGCCGTGCTCTGCGAGGGCAACTCAGGGCTGCTCAGCTCTCCCCACACCTCACCCACCTGGCACGCACGCGGCGGGCTCGCTGCAACGCGGCTGGAGCGGTGCCGTCTGCTCCGGGCTGCACCTCAGCACTCTCGTTTCCATAGTCTCGGACAACATTAGGAAGGGCTCTCACCATTATCTTCAGACCTTTTATTTTTTTTTCTCTTTTGGTAAGTTAATCAGTAACCAGAGCCTTCTGCCAAAAGTTTGTGCTACTGATTTCAAGGCCCTGCGGCACAGAAGGCTTTGCAAGGTTTGTAGAGTTCGAAACTTGAGCTATTTATACAGCAAATCCTTTCCTTTCGCATTTAGGCTTCCCTACACCGTGAGTAAAGAGGTGCATTTCCCATACTGCAACACCCTATCCGCAACTCTGAAACCAGCTGTATCAGGCAAAATGCCCTAATCCACATGCTCGGGTTCCCAAGGAGCAAGCCTTGCCACGTCCCTGCCTAAGGAGGCTACGAGAAAGAGCGAGACACTTTTTATGAGCCAATTACTCAGCTTTAATTTCTCACCGTGATGATCCACGTCCGTTTACAGCTGCAACAAGCACAGGCAGCACAGAAGGCACCGTCAGTAGCGTTACTTTAGAAGTCCTCACCCGGTGGGACCAATAAAACGACCTGCAGAGTAGCCACAGCCACAAAACTGCAGCTGGCAGCGGAGCTGCTTCGTCCAGCACTGAGACCTCAGGTCAGCCCGGTGCTTGAGCCTTGAGGATCTCCAAAGGGGACCCTGTGGTAACTGCTAGTTAACGTGGTTAAATCACTCTGATTAAGCATCCCTTCCCTTTGGCTGCTCAGCTTTCAAGCTCATCGGGTTTTATTTTATCATTTATCTAGTTCGCTACTTCTCCAAGCCTCCACAGCCCCAAGACTTCTCGACAGAGAAAGAAAAAAAAGCGTGCAAGACATCTTTAGGCTTCCCAAAGAGGCCGATGAGATAACAGCCCAATGCTTTATTTGGTTCTGATTTGATTCCAAGTCACGTCACCTTACAGACTCCTCTGACCAGAATCATCCAGGGAGACACCAGGCAGAAACTTCTTCGTTCCTCCTAAGCTTGCTTCTTTGCCCTCTACCCGTGCCACACCAGTGCTGCTCAACCTTCCAGGAAAAGACAAGCTGACTTCGTAAGAAAGGAAGCCTGCACTACGCACCACACATCACATTTCACCCCTAAAATATGATTTCCTATAACAGGTAATTGCAGCAGCTCGTCAGATCCTTAGCTGAACACAGAGCATTTACAATTCCTTTTGTCTATCAGTTTATCAAGGCAGCCACAAACTGAAGTAAATGGCTGCCAACCTATTCAGGATGAAATTGTAAGACGGGAGAGCAACTGACATAAGAGAAGGGTAGAATTTACCCAGAAAGTTGGCTGTACTTGAGCAAAGCCCAGAAATCTTCATAAATTAGCACGACGCAGTAATTCGTGTTACTTGAATCGTGCTTCGCTCCCCTTCTGCTTCACCCCCCTTCCGCTTCACCCCGACAGGGCAGGAACTAATTAACAAGGACACGTTCCCCTGCACATCGCTCTAAGTACTCAGTTCGCATCTCACACGTGGCACTGTCCACTTGGAAAACATTTTTTCACATCTAGAACAATTTGTTTCACACGCAGCTCCGCAGATGAGCTGGTCTTTGTTCTTTATCTACACACAGAGACATTTAATGGGAGCGCGCAGTGAAAATTTAATCTTTACAAAGGCTTTGCTACACATGAAAGCAAAGCCTTCCACAGAGTCATTTGTCTCTTTTACAGAGATAAAAATAAAATAAGACATCCAGAAAACCAGTTCAAATGGAGGCTTCAGGTTCAGTATTATGTACTGCCGATTAAATAAGGCTCTTCAGTCCTGGTCTTTCTTTTCTCCCCCCTCGTTTCTACTGAAAACTCTAAAACCTGCATAGATAAAACCCAATTTTCCATAATATGTTTTGGCTGTATGGAAAGCACACGGTTCATGCTTTCCTGATCAATTTTGCATAAAACCTAAAAGTAGAAACTCCTTGTGCCCCAGTGACCAGACACCTCTCTCTCAGTGGCTCTAGATGCCACTGAGAACATCTGGAGATTTTCTGAGAAACATAAACAAGAGAAAGGACAACTTACATTTAAATATATTAACTTGCGTAAGATTTGGAGAAAGATCTGCAACACCCTTCAAATGACAGGCCTCTTCTAAAAGCCTCACGCTTTGCCACTGAACGAATTAGAACAAGTTCTCTGAGGATTCAGAATACTGAAGATAATTGAGCTTTCCACAGGTCCTGTATGAACACTGGAACAGCTTTACTGGATGTGATTCCAAGCTCCATAACAAAATCTTTCTGCCTATATACAGATATATGGACAGACGTATAGATGACATTCTTGTCATCTTGCTATTCCCCGTGTTAGTTTGGGGTTATTTCAGATACTGAGCACGCAGGTACGGGGCAGAAACACAGAAGATACAAAACAAACTGAAGAGGATCGCTCCTCCACAGTGCCCAAATCTGAGTGCTTCTGTTGTACTTCTATCTGCAACCACCTCAGAATACCATTTAAAAACACAACAGGGATACTCCTGCAAACTTGTTTTGGCTGATCAGTTCAGACAAGGAAAGCTGACAAGTGAAACAACCGGGAAGGCGGCACAAGACGCAACACGAGCACCTTCCCTCCCAAAGCCTCCGAAAACAAAAAGCCAGATGTAGCAAATCCGGGCAGCAGAGGTTGTATTCCCTGAAGAGAAGAGACGCAGCAGTTTGAGATATATAAACACATTTCTATCGCTACTCCTCAAAGGCCAAGGAACACTGACCTGGCATGAGTGTGCCACTAAGGGCTGCCACAACTGTGTCCCAACCGAAAAGGAGCCCAGGGTTCAAACACAAGCAGGATGTTTAGGAAGTTGCCTATTTTCAGTGTCCAGCGTGTTTGCTTTATTTTAAAGGGGACAAAGTGCTAGCCACTGCAGGGCAGCAGCATCACAGATGACCCCCTTCCCAACTGTGCAGGCAACAGAAGAGAAGCTTTTGTATTACGTGCCTAAGGCCTGGATCCTTCCGGCAGCACTCGGAGGTTCAGAGGGCCAGCAGCTGCCATCCTGGTGCTCCATTAGCGTCTGGTCACTGCCAGGGCTGTTTCGGGAAGGACTTTATCTGCGTGATCCATGAGAGCAGCTGGAGGAACAGCCAGGCTCTCGTGCTGTGCAGCACACGCAGCCTCACCCCTCTCCTCAGCAGGAGCGCTTTCATGTAAAACTTCCCCATTCCTCTCCATCTCCTGTCATCCTAGCAAAACCCCGAAGGTAATTTCCTACCTTGCGTAAGGGATGCTGGAGCTGGCGTGTCAGACAGGAGCCGCCTCCTCGGCATTTCTTTGCCACAGTTATGAAGGACGTGCTCCGTGCTACAACGAGCTGAGTGGCACGCTGCTAAATGAGGAGGAAACTGGAGTTTCAACATTTGTCACCTGAAAGGACTGAGGGACCCCCTCACGCTCTAACCCTTGTTACACAGCTCAACCTCCAGGAAACCACTGCCTGAGAAGTTGGAGGTTACGCACCCAAAGTTTCCCAACGGCGTTCCTGGCTTTCCACTAGCGAGGGCAGCAGCACGCCAGCACAGTTAGAATTACGTTAAAACCACATGCAATTCATAAACACAATGCTCGTCCTCAGTGACTTGCTGGTCTTCGAGGGAAGGTGAATTGCACAGAAGACACGCACACAGACCAGCTTTGGGGCTGCACACATGCCTTGCTCGGAGAGGACGCTCCTTCCGAACGCAGCGGATGAGCACAGCTCCTGACAGGAGGGGGAGACGAGACTAGCCCTTTGCCAAAATCAGATCACACCACACTTCGCTGTAACAAAAGATGCCTCCAGGGAGTTTGTGCTCATCATCGTTATTCCACGCACGTAAGAGCCACCTTCAACGGCTTTTGCTTCAATTAAACCTTTACTACTGCAAAGGGCAGAGGGGGTGCAAACATATTCACACCATGCTGATCGTGGAAGTGGTAATGAAAGAGAAAGCAAATGGAGTATCTCCCTCTGTATTCAGAGCATCTTCCCCCACACACCACCATTGAAGGAGAAAGACACAACCCCCCAAACAATGTCTTGAGATAAAGCCCGAAACCTCACAGGCAAGGACATGCCCGTGTCCCTTGCCCTGTAACCCTCCTCCCCCCACATCCCTTTTTTTTCCCAGCTGAGCACTTGCCTCTCCTCCGTGCCCATCAAATATCCCGAAGATGGAGGGGTGAGTCTTGTTCACCAGGTCGGTGATTACTTCGAATCTGTCCTCCATGTGATCCCTCCGGCCTTGGATGGAGTAGACGGCCACGTTGTGGCTCTTGAACTCCCAGGTCTTGGAGAACTCTGCATCCAGCACGTCTAGCCCCCCGAGCCGGTCATTCTGCATGATCTCGGCCACCTTGCCCTTCACCATCTTCACCGCATCCCTGCTGGACTTCACGATGGTCTTCACCTCATCCGTGTGGAAGAAATAACTCCACAGGGCCAGGCTGATGCACAGCAAGAACAAGGTCTCCGGTCTGAGCAAGAAGTAACGCATGATCCGACCCAGCAGAGACAGCAAAGTCATTGTATCCTCTATCATTTATTATCGGCACCGGGTATCCCCGCACCATGCGACGCGCGCCCGGGCGGCCGGGCTGGAGCTGGGGGCGGCGGCTCGGGGCTGGGGGCTGCGGGCTGGGGGCTGGGGCTGGGGGCTGGGGGCTCACCGCATGCTCGGCCGGGGCGCAGCCGGCGTGCGGCCAGCCCGAGCCCCGCTGCCCACCGCTGCCTCCTCCCGCTGCCGGCCTTCGTCCCGGCCCAGTCCATCCGGTCCCGGTCCCGGTCCCAGTGCGGCCCGGCCCGGCTCGGTGCGGTTCCCCCCGGCTCGGTGCGATGCGGTCGCTGTCCGCCCGGCCCCGCTCTCCCCTCAGCGCCCGATCCCGCCCCTAGGCCGCTGCTCGGCTCCGCTCCGCCCCGGGCCGGGCGGTCGGGAGGGAGGGCGGGAGGGAGGCCGGCGCTCCGGGAGCTCGCCGCGGGCAGGCAGCGGCCGCACCTGGCCCCGCGCCCCCCCCCCCCGGCCCCCCGCAGCCCCCCGGCCCTCCCCCGGGGCGGGGCGCCACCGCCTCCGCCGCGCCCGGCCCCGCCGCCCGCCTACAAGTCCCGGCGGGCCCCGCGCGGGGAGGCAGCGGGCGCGGGGTGGGAGCGCGGGGCGCGGGGAATTGTGGGGGATGTAGTTCCTTGGGTTGGGCCTGGGGCTGGGGCTGGGAGGGCCTCAGCGCTGCGGGTGGGGGCGCGGGGCTGAAGCAGGAAGCCCCGAGCTGTTCGACCGGAGTGCTGGGACGGGCAGGCACGTGGCAGTGGTGCTGAGAATGAAAAGTGGAAATTTTGAGAGAAAAACGCGCCTTTGGAAGTGCCTCTCAGCCTGCACCCTGCTCCATCCAGCACCTGCCATCCAACCGCCCCACTGCCTTGGGGCGCTGGGCAATGCGGCACCACGGACACGGACATGAGCGGGTTCCTGCTGGCTTGTCAAAGATCAATCAGTGACACAAACCCAAACCTGGTTAACCCAAACACAATGATTTTGTCTCTTTGTGTCTGCTTCTTACCTCCAATACTGAAAAGCAGGAAAGTTAACAACATGTTGTATCAGCAACACTGCTTTAAACCTTAGCGGCACCTGGCACGCCAGTAAGAGTTTAAAAGGTGAACGGTTCAGGAAACTCTCTTACCTTTATCTTCCCACGTGCTGCTGTCCCCTGGAGCTGAGCCACGTGCCCGTTACCTGAAAGGCCAAGACACACACACATCAGTTTGGTGACACGGTAAGGGCGAAGGCTTTGTGTCTGCTGCTCACGGGGTGGCTAACCTACCGAGTGCTTCAGGAACCACGGGGCTAATAGGGACACACAGGGGCTGCAATATGTTGTACCGAGGAATTATTTCTGTTAGTTTAGCAAACTTTGTAACAGCACCAGCACTGGAGCTTTTCGGTCAGGCTGGGTCCCCAGTTTGTAATCTGAGCTTTTCTTGCGAAACTTCTCAGTTTAAACAAAACCTCTGCTATTATTATTATTATTATTATTTTCTATCTAAATTATGTCTTAGTGTGGATGGGACACTTGCAGTACAACACAGATCCCTCTGCACAATTTGTCTTTGTATGCATGGCCTGAGAGAGCCAATTCCTTCTCCCTGGCTTTTTGCTGTACCCGCTAGAGCAGCTCCCCTGGGAGTTACTTCTTGCAGTGCCAACTAAATGCCAGCAGTGCAGATAATATCAGCGAGTCCTGCACAGAGGTACCAGAAGTGCAAAGTGAGGAGGTTCTGAGCACCCGTGGGACAACGCAGCGGTCAGATCCAGAGCGAGCAAAGGAGCTCACCGGAGGGTTTCGTGATGGCCATATCCTACGTGGTTTGCTCCAGCAAATCTCCCAGTGGAAGAACAGAACTTCAAGATCCAAACGCATTCTTTTAAACATTGGAAATGAGAAATAAAATTTCTTAAGTATTCAGCATATCAGATGGTACTGAAAGATTTCTTTTGTGTTGGGGGGAGAACTCTGGCATTTGTTCACTTGTGGAAGCAAAGAAAAGCAACCCCCGAGTCAGCTTCACAAACCAACTTAGGGTACCCGCTCTACAATGCGTCGAGCATGTAGGAACAACCATACCTTGCTCAACAGCTCCTCCTGCTGCTGCCATGTGTCACGAAGCTGTGAAGGCATCATTCGATCTCAAGCATGAGCTAGAGAAACAAATCATCGGCTAATATAAACACGCATTGATCGTGTCTTTAGTGGTGTAATACACTGGTATTGGTTTTGTGTTGCCTGACTGGAAATAAAATGGGAAATTCTTTTGGGGCCAGAGCAAAGCAGCAACATCCAACTTTTACTCATGGTAATTTTCACGGTGCCCAGAATCAAAATGCAGAGTGAGATATTGGAAAAGGCACTCGCTCTTTGTTAGCTTATACAACACCAACACTCAGCATTGTCACTCCTTGCTTGTGATAGGAACACAGGGTTTTAGTTGTAAGAAGCCTCACAGAAAGATGCTTACAATGACAACTTAAAAAATAATAATAATTTACTCTTTATGCAAACTGATTTTAGCATAGCTCAGAAGCTAATTTTTGGCATAGCTCAGAAGAGCACAGAGGTGTAACTGGTGGCAGGTCTGTCCTTTCGTTGCAGGTGGGAACAAGGACACGTACCACAATATTCCACAAAGCCCACAGTCAGCTCCTTGTTTCTTCTGCTAATAAAATCCTGATAGAAAAAACTAGGAGGAATGATGACTACAAATTTGTCTTTTTCACATGCGAGGAACAAAATGGCAATGCAGCAAAGTATCTCTCACTTTTCTTCTCAGATGTTTAAAGGAAGGCATTTTAAAATACTCAGGATGTTCTTTGGCCACGACAAACACAGCTCTGCAGAGGATGAGCAGTATAAAAATATCATAAACTGTTTTCTGCAGTAGTTTTGATAACAGGTAAATAAAGACCCAGTTTGTCGGGAGAAGTTTTTTATCCCTTCTTTTAGTTGCTATAAACAACACTTTATAACATTGTTCCAGAGCTTGATGTTGCAGCAAATGCCAAGCATTGCAGGTAAATTCTCCCTTCCCTCTGGTAAACCCAGGAGAAATCCTATTATAGAAATGTTGCTCATCTCGTGTCTCCCTTGAAGAGGAACATTTGCAGATGCGGAGTGAAAATAGCAATTTTCCACATAAGTTGTTCTCTTCTATTTTCCATGACTCTCAGTTCCCTCTCCCCACTACCGCCCATCTTCCCGCACACAGCCTGCTCTTTGTTTATTTCCCGGCCACGTCGTGTCGGTGAGAATGGGGGCCACAGGATGTGGGGAGGTTCCTGGAAAACAGCCTCGTGTTTTAGCAACATCTTTTAGTTAAGCATTAAGGCTGGGATGGAATGGAGCGCACCGAGGCACAGCCGTGAAGCAGAGCATTGCTGTGCAGCTGGAGCCCATCTCAGGGGTGTTGGGAAGGTTCAATGTATGCAGAGAGAACCTGGGAACTGAAAGCCCCGAGTTTAACTGATACTGAAATCTGGTTTCGGTAATTTCCCAGACACCAGATGATCCAGGTATGGAAAAGGTACCCACAAAGAAACGATAATACTGACGGCAGCAATGAAATACGGACCAAAAGATGAAACTGTTCCCACTGAAGTCAGCGAGCGTTTGCCTTGGACCTTGGTGGGAGCACGGCCCCAGAATTTTGATGCTGAGTCCAGCTCCCAGGGACGTGCCATGCTCTTGGAAATTCTCATTGATTTACTCCGAGGTTTCCCTGCTTAGCTCCTCTGTATCATAATTATTCAAACCACATTTTTTCCCTGTCAGTTTCCAGAGATTAATTCACTGAGAATTGGAGCATGACTGAAACATCGCCAGAAAAGCCCAGCAGATAAAGCTGAAGATGATCCTGACTGCCAAAGCTGCTATCTGAAGTGTGCCTTCATTTAAATAGCAGCGTAACTTTGCATCGCTGCTCGGTGAGGATATATCTGGAAATGTTTGTAAAGTATTTGCCGGTAGATTACTGCCTCACGAACGTACCACTTTCATGAAGAACTCCAAGGTATGCAAGCAAAATAAAAATAGAAACGGAGCAATTTAGAATCACTTTGAATTAGCGATGAACTGGCAGCCTTCTTGTGAAATCTTTCTGAGATTTGAACACAAATTGATAAAAATCAATAACAAAGGAATCTTAATTTTCTTCTTCATTAATTTTTACTCAGTTTAGCAGCTGTTTCTTGTCTTATGTTGTAGACCATTTAATTTGCATTAAACAAGAGACTACAAATTTGATTTATACATTTTAATTCCAGGTTTGCATTTTCACTTCTTCCAGATACATTTGTATGCAGAACATTACGGGCTGCAGTCTGGAGCAGATCCCTGGGTCAGCCAAGCTAGGCTGGTCCCAGTACTGAGATGAGAGGGGAACTGAGGTTACGGGTGCCTTTTGTGTCTATTCTGAAGTGAAAATTAACTGTGGACTCAGCTGATTTTTAATTGGGGTACAGAGAGTGTAAGACTTCCATGATTTTTTAAATTACATTTTTTTTAAATCTGTGCCCAGTGCTTGGAATTTGCTTGAGGTGGGTTCAGTACATCCAGCTGAAGCACTCGTACCTCTGGGGCTCAAATGGGACGTGTATTGTGGAAGTGGAAGGGGGAAGGAAGAGACTCAGACATCCTCTAACGAGCCACCACAGCAAACTGAAGGAGCCTTGCTGACGTCCGTGGGACACAGCCAAAATCCTTCTCCAAGAGAGATCCAAAAGCTCAAGAAATGCAGAAGTAATAGGGGAAAACACCACCACCAAGAACAACAACAGTGAAATAAATTGTGAGTGATACTCACAAAGAAGACTTTAAAATCCTGTTAGGCATTAGTGCTAAGACACTCCGAGGTGTTCAGATCTCCACGCTCCACTGAATCCTACAGGAAAGTTTGGGCTCATAAGAGCTGGGTGCAGGCAGAAAAGCAATAATCCTAAACACAACTCCTACTCCAGGATGTTTTACGTGTCATCTATTCCATGTGTGTGTCTGCAGTGAAAACCATTTCTTTCTGTTTGTTCTCCATCTTCTCCTGGGCAATATGTCTGGTAAGCTCCGAGCTGCACGGCTTGTGCTAGAATAGCTGCACGGCTTGGTACCTTCAGCTGTCAGAACTGTCTCTCCTCTTTCCCAGTTTGTGAAATACACACACCACGGCACCATCTGCTTCACCCTGATGCAGATTTGCCGCATAGGAGCCGTAATTTAATGGGGAAAATCATTTGACTAGAAGAGAATTTTATGACTTTGTTTTAATTTTCTTTTATAGCTACTTTTTTTTTTTTTTTTTTTTTCCCCTGCTAATTCCCACATCAATCCTAAGTCTCCTGAGGCACCAGACTGTGAAGCTGACACCAGATGGGAAAATGAGCTTCAGACAGCTGCGGGCTTCCCTACTGCTGCTTCCAGCCATCGAGGACTCATTTCTGCACGTGCGTATGGGAAACGCTGGTGGTAGCAAGGCAGCACTAA